GGTATATAAGAGTTTTTCTATCAGAATAAAAGAATTGAAACAGTCAGTTTCAGATTAATAAGTCCCATACATATATTTCTCGTGTATTAGGGTATGCGTGTGAGATGGGAATAATATCTACACTCACACCCAACCCCTTTATTATAACTCAGGTTCGATTTTTCTTCATCTAAATACTCTTAATAATTTATGTCTGGAAAAAAAAGTTATTTTTATTATCATTCTATGAAAATTCGAACTTTTACCTTCGCAAGCGTAATTATCAACGATATATATTAATAGTTTACAATTTTAACTACTTTGAACGTGAACTTATAACTGTTAAGAATGGCTTGGAGTCATCAAGGGTATGCTGCTGCTGGATTTGGTATACCTTTTGGTTTGGGCATCGTAGTCTTTGCTGTTTTATTCTCTCTCATACGCTGGTGTCCAAGAACATTTTATCGTATGATTAAAGCAATGTTTTCAATTAAACATTATGAAGGAACATCATCTGACGCCAGAGAATTTATTGATATATATGGTGTTCAAATTAGCTTGTCGGCAACTACTTTTAGTTTTCTACCTCCATTAGCCTTACTTATTATGGCAACAGCTGTCTTAACAGCCACGTTTGTTCTTTTCCTCTCCGAACTTTTTTTGATTGGCCGTTATGTCTCACCGAATAGTAAATGTCCATCTGACGATGAAATGGACTGCTATACAACTGTTAATAGTACATATTTTTATTGTAATTCATCTGATACGAGAATCGATGCATCCCTAGGAAGTCTCGTTTGTTATCGATGGATAAAACAAAATATAGAAACTGTAGAAATACTCAATCAAATTGGTCTATGCGGGGGATTGCTTCAAGCATTTGGATGGTTCGTTAATATATTTTTACGTTTGTTACTTCATGTATTACAGAGAAAGAAATCAAGTCCATCAGAAAGAAGTATGACTGAAATGAAGATTGTTGATTTTTCATTACGCAAGTGGCATTTGCTCAAGTTATGTTTTAAGTTTCTCTTTATTACTTTTATTACATTGAGTCCCTGCGTGGCTCTCATAGTCCTAGGTGCAGCAAATATTAGTCGTACAGGGATAACGATGGTCATTTTAAGCGTACTATTTCTTATATCTGTATCCGGTCTTTTGCTTTTTCTCACCCACGAGAGCACAAAATTCAAGCATGGTACTGTAGTATCCAATGAAGCCGACATAATTTCTCCGTCACTATCTGAAACAACGTTTTAATCAATTATTTTACAAGTTATTCAAAGGATTTAAATCAAGAAATGACAACATCTTGAGGGTGTGGGTATCAATAGGAAACACCCACACCCTATCAACAATACAATCTTATAATTTTGATCGTTTTCATCAACGTGTTTATCTTATTCAAGTATTTACTCATGCATCATATTCTTATAATACAATAACAGATTGTTATCAATATTTAGAATTTCTTGGTAATACTGTACTTGATTATGTTATAATTCGTTATTTATATGAAGTTAGTTAATTCATCTTTTTGATCATCATGGTGTGGTTTTGATGAATGTGATTTAGGTGATAATTACAATAGAAAGGATGAATTTTTTTATTATGAGTTTTTTAACATCATCAGTATCAAATAATAAAGATACATACAGTAATACAATGTCATGTACAATCGACAACGAATATTTATCAAATTCACATGATGAACAAAAAGATGAAACAACAAATGAGCCTGATGAATGCGGGAAGAAACAGAAGTTCCAAAAATGTCTTGGTGATATATTTCTTGATTCAAATAAATCTTTTAATACTGTATGGAAAATTTATTATCGAATGTTAAAACCTTTTATTGAAAAATTTACAACTAAAGTACCAAAATCACCTATACGTAAATTACTTGAACCTGAAACAGTGGCTTTTGAAAAATCCGAACGTTTACTCTAAATGTGCTTTAAAAAATTAACGTCGTCTAGATGAAAATGAAGAATGTTTTAGTGAAGCAAAAAAAGAAATCGAAGACCTCTCAGATATTTATTTTGCTATATTGTGATGTAATAGTTTGAACATACTGTTTTTCTTGTCTTACCGATACAAGTGTTGTATGTTTTTTATGGATTTCTTATAAATATATATAAAGACTTCTAAAATATGCTCAGTTGATTTTTTTTACCTGTGATATGTTGTTTTTATTCAAAAAGAAAAGATTATTCATAAATCAATTCGAAATTATAACATTTATGTCGATGTATTTTTTTCCAAATGTGAATTTTGTTCTGCTATTTGTTTTACATTTGAACAAATGGGGCAACATTGAAGAGTTTGTTCATTTGGAAATTCTACAGTATAATATCCACCATTAAACATTGATAAGTTTAGTTGACTCCAATTATGATATGATTCATTAGATATTGTATCCATGTATTGACAATTAAACATACTCCAGAAACACACACGCCAATCCAACTTTCAACTGTTCTCGTTGAAAAGAATCTATCTTTTGGTATGAATTCAATTGATTGATATAGTTGTATAGATTGTGGTAGCAATAATTTCAGTACTTTTTTTAGATAATTGTAATGTTCAAGGTTGATGTAAATTGAACTCATTCGAACGTTCTTCAATAATAGATTGTGCTTGCTCACCTGATATACAACATCTTTCTTTAAGTAATAGTTGAATGACATTTCTATTTTCTACTTCTTTAATGTTAAATTTAAATGAATCATTTGTATTATTATTACATGCCCAACATGAATCATTTGATAATCCAAAAAATAGATTAACTTCACTATTATTAAATATAACTGTACATTTCTTAGCTATCACAACAACACAGGACCAATTTGTAACAGCATCCATATGATAATCATAAATATTTGTTCTTAAATTATGCATGCATTTCAGATGTTGAGCTACAGCTTCTGTTTTTGATTTACCAACATCTAATAAACTAAATAGTATTTGTCGATTTAAATTAGATACATCCACAAAATCACGATCAAGTAAATATATAGTATCGACACCCATTCTTACAAGAGACATTGTAATACTGCTACCTATACCACCAACATCAAGGACAAAGACATGCTGTTGTTCAACAGAATATTAGTGAAGATTGTTTTCCTTCTGCTACAATACAATCTAACTTATATCTACTTGTTGCATTTACTTCTATTTCATCAGACATATTTTAATATCACATTCTAAAATGAAAGGCGTAGAAAAAAAACAAAAAAGACACACGTGTTTATTCTATGACATAGAACAGAATAATAAAAGATTGGTTACTAATCAAAACATACATATTGTAAAAATGCATTGCCACTCGAAAAAAATCCGTTATAAGTGTTAGCAGTGGTGTAACGATACAATTACTGATGTTAATATTCAAAAAGACTTGTCCTATTCAATACTCTTAAAGGAAATATGACTTGCGTACATAAAATTGTTTTGATTCTTGTATAAGATAAAGATGAATGACAATATTATTTAAATTCAACAGTGCTTTAATAGAGCTTTAATTACATGTATAGTAGATAAATGAAAGCATGATCCTTAACTAATATTGGATATAAAACATAGTGAAAGATTATGGACCCAGTTCTAAAAGATAAGATGTATTTGAAGAAAATAATTTGAGGATCATGCTTTCAATAGGGTGTGGGTATGGGTAGGTGTGGACAGAACATGATACCTACACTCAAAACCACATCCATCCTCAAGATTGACAAATGATAAAAAATATGAAAAATTAAATGAAACTATTAAATTTATTCGAGATAAACTTTTAAATTTATTTGATGTGGATCTTATTTTAAAATGTTTTGGTCAAAAAATTTCTTCATCAACTGAGAAAGAAAATCAACTCATTAAAACGTATGAATCAACAACAATAAATAAAAAATAAAAGAACCAATTTTCTTCTGGTGATATAGAAAAATGTAGAAATTGATTTATTAATATTTATATATCATTAGGAATGTTATTATATGATTTATCAATAATTAACAATGAAACATCAACATATTTAACATATATTTTTAAAATTTTACAAAAACATATTGATATTAATGATGGAAAATTATCTAATTTTCAATATAAATATAATTTAATGAAAAAAATCTTGTAGCCGTGTTCGGGAATTATTTTTAAAACAAATTGAAGAAAAATCTTGATCACAACAACAATAATATGATAATATACTACTTCAAGTAACATAGTTTGTTCATTATTTTATATTTATTTTTACTTATTTTGTAACTTTATCAAGCAATGAATACGAAATATTTAATTGCATATCAAGAACGTTTATTGTTGCCAAATATCCTCAGAGTTATATTTTATTTTAGTTTATTCTCTTTTTTCGCTAAATTTCGTTCAATAATCACGGCTAAAGATAAAGAATGATACATTCAATATTTTCATCCTTGTATTTTTTCAATTATTAATCTTGAAGGTGTGGGTGTGAATGTATGTGTATATGTCGGTATACATAATAAGTAGATCAACTACCGCTTCACCCACACCCGTCAACATCTGCAAACTGCGCAACTTGATTGTTGCTTACCATTATAAAGGTAACCGTTTACTTGTATTACTTGGAGATTTTTCTTCCTTTTTTTTCGTTCTTGCTCGTTAGTTGAATTCTGCCAACTTCGTCATTGCAATAGAAGTGAGTCAATAAAAGGTTTTTATCGTTCTAACAACCAAAGTAAAATGAATACACCTCTTTTTCGATATGCAAATCTATAAAGGTGAAGTATAGAACGTTTTACAGTTTCATTTTCTGCGAGACATTATACGGTAAGAAATACTTTTATTTTTCGAACAACATAACTATTAACTCCAAAAGAAGACTAGAATATATCCTAAAATGATCGTGAATATATACTTTTTTTATATATGTTCCATAAATTACAGTACTAATTAAATATCGGAAATATTGCGTAAGACTTGACTATTGTCTACATACTTATTCTAAATTTTACTATCGATAATCTTTACAGTATTGATTATTAAGTAATCCCATAACACATATCAACAGTATATAATTTTGAATTTATCGATTGCTAGTTTTCTGAAATAATACTTGAATCGAAATGAAAGAGAATACAATATTTGTGAAGTAGTAGTAGAAACATCGGTTAGGCAGACTACACACCGTGTGTAACAAGAGAATTTTACTGTTTTTCTTTTTTTTCACACAAAGTGATTCTATTATATTATTAATCAATCAACGATTAATGGAAGATGAGTGTGTTGAGAAAATTACATTTTTTGAATCATAGGAAAAATACGAATAATAAATGTATGCGATGTATCTATTCCTGTACTATGAAGCCACTCAATATTGAGAAGCTAATCAGCTGTTTCAATATTAACGATACTCTTGTAGTATCTCGATTGTTTTTCTGTGAAGTTGAATATTGGATTACAGATTAATAAAAGTGAAACTAATGTTCAAATCAGAACTCAAAACTATCTCAATCGTTTGAGTTCGGATTGATATCAGCCATTATAGGTTTTTCAACTGTATCCATAGTCAAAATGTGATGAGTAACTAACTATCAAGGTGATGAAGATGTAATATAAATTCCGAAACTTATAGCTAGTAGTGTAACCCTCATACTTGGCTTGACATTGCTATAAAGTTCTTTGACAAAACTTAATGAAGAACTAATAAAATTTTGATATAATCTGTTCTGTTATTGGTATTAAGATTTTGAATGTAAATTTTTATTAAGATTATTTGTAGTGAAACGAACAATATCGAGATTAAGATTATAATTTTAAACAAGTAATCGGTATAGAAACATTTTGCTTTTGCTCTATTTTATATTGAATATTGATCATTTTCTTTTTGACATAAAATTTGAGAATGAAGAAGTTTTTCGTAATATTACTTATTTCTGTAATAAATTGTGATTTTATCTAATAGTTTCATTCTTTGTTTCTCTGTTAATACATCATATTTTGTTATAGTATGTTTTGTTCTAGAACTCTGTTAAGTTTGGAGATATCCCATTATAGAAAACGATAGTTCATATAGCAGAACGGACATTATCTTTACTCAACTATCAATAAAACATTAGTCATCATTTCACTTTACTTTTCTTTGCTACAATTTTTCATTGCCTTACCTAACTCTTCAGTTAAACATTGTCTAAGTCGACTATTTATCTAAACTAAGATCATCATAGAATAACAAATAACATCTCTTTTTATTTATATGTAGATTTCATATTCAGAATGACTGATGAATCAAGCCATGCTTATCGTTTCTCTGATATAGCTGGCGAATCGAATCGGAGATTACCACCAATCAGAGGTTTCGAGAATATGCCACTTGTATCTCTCGAAGAGGCTACACAACCTCTAATTGCTTATGTTCCAGAAATCGATCATATGGTTTATACAGTTAAAGGAAATATTACCAATCCAAAACATGATTTAACTATTGATGAATCTGCGTCGATTGCATTATATTCATTGGAATGGTTTCCAAGAGAAAACTCGTTTTATATAATTCTTAACGAAACTTTACGAGGCTCAAATCGAGCAGCATTATTACCACCATGGTTCAAGTTTTTGAAATTGTTTTTAACTGCTCTTTCCAAACTTCCGCCAATTACCCGTCGAGCTATTTATCGAGGAGTTAAGTTAGACTTACGAAAACAATATACAAAAGGTACAAAAATTGTTTGGTGGGGATTTTCTTCATGTACATCATCTATTGAAGTTCTTGAAAATGAGCAATTTTTTGGAAAGACTGGCACAAGAACTTTATTTACCATTGAATGTGACAATGGTAAAGATATTCGCAAACATTCATTTCATCAGGCAGAAGATGAAATACTTCTTCTTCCAGGACAAGAATTCGAAGTTCACTCATCTCTTGACATGGGAAATAATTTTATTATGATTCAACTCAAAGAGATCATACCACGATTTCCAAACATTGCATCAATTAAAACATCAAAATCTTCAGCAACAACAACAACCACCATGACTACTACTACATCTACAATTAGCATCGCTGCTATGCCATCTTTAGTACTAAATGTGGTTCCTGAGCTGAAACCTTACGTCGAATCGCGAGAAGTATCTTATAAAGACCGAAAAATAACAGATACCGATATCCAACGTATAATCAACGAAGCACTAATTCAACAACAATGTACAGAACTCAACTTATCTAAGAATAAAATCACACATGAAGGTGCTGCGGTGTTAGCCAAAGCATTGCGAACTAATATGGTAAGAAAGCTGTGTTATTCATCTTGTAGTAATTACAAAGCCATTGGAAATATTTTAATAGCATATATTTCTTCTACGAATATGTTTATTTAGTCCAAATGAAAACTTAAATATTCTCAAAAAACTCATAGTTGACATAGCAGTATAGATATGAGTTATGATAAAATCATTTATGGAAGCTATTTATTATCTCGTTCTTATTTAAAGGTGAAATACGTTACAATCGTTCTAAACCAACATGTAAGGAAAATAAATCAGATCTTTGCATTATCATAACTTATTCAACTGTTCATAATTAGAAAGATTTTTTCAAATGAGTTAAATTCCTATTCCTAAAGTTTCCAAATAACACAATTATAGTTTTAATGATCACACATCTTCTAATACTTATGACTCGTCTGATATGTGATGAACATACCAAATCAATTTAATCATTATTTTATTTAGGAAATAGAGAGATCAATTGTCATTATATCACTAAATATTACTAGTATAAATCGTATCCCTCGTCTATGAAAGGACTTCATAAAGTTCGATCAACATTTTTCTTTGTAATATTCGAAATATATTAAAGCTGTTAAAACTTTAACAAGATTGGAAAGAATTTGAATTTTTCAGAGATTATTTCGAATAATGAAAAATTATCTACAAATATTCTTTGATGATAAAATCAACTTGTTTTTACAATGTCAGTTTTTTCAAGATAAAGTTTAGGACACTGTGATATATGTACTCACTAGTACAATTAAAATGTTCTCTTTTATATTTCTTGTAACACTGAGAAGATCTAGAAATTTTTTCACATATTATTGACGATCTCTGAGCTGTTCTTCTAAATAATTTATCTTTTCTAGTTAATAGATGTTTTTTTAAAAGTATAAACATAATTATAAAGTCCAACAGCAAATTAATAAACATCCCATGTTCTTCTTGACAAAAATATTTCTCTGAACAATTGTCCATATATTTTACATTGAGCAACGTTTATTTATATGTAGTTTCAATAAAAATACTGATCAATAATCACACCTTCAACAACATTTAGAAATCAAAATTTTAACAAGTGTTTTATATCGTACCTATGATTTATTAGTATATCCAACAATCTATTATGAAAAGCTTTTAAAAAGGTTACTCCGCTCTAAAAATATTCACAGATTTTATAGGATCACAAAGCCACTCAAAGTAGTAACCCATGTTTCTCGACAATATTGCGTATCTGATATGGTTTTCTAATTGGTATCGATATCGATCAGGTGTTCATCAACATCTTAACAAGAATAACGAAAAAACTATTCATGAACATGTCAGCATGCATATTTATAAAGATTCCCCTTCGGATATTGGAAACAACTCCAATAAACAACGAGTTTAAAAAAAACAATTCTATTTCTCAGTATGTAGCTTTCTATGAAGATCGAATCTCCTTAAAACTTCGTCAGTTCACTAATATTTATCACGTAACTTAAATATTCACATTACATGTTTTCGAGAAAGGCGGTAATCCAAAAACGACTATTTTTAACGCACGCTAGAAATGCCATAATACGAAAGTCCTTGTCACCTAGATCCCAAATCTGACATCCGTTTGTCTAGATCTGATCCCTTTTTGTCGATTTTTTCCGCAAGGGGGTATCTAGGTCTCAGTAGGGTAGTTCCATGGGGTGTCAAACACAAACAAACAAAGTATTCCGAAAATTTTATGAGAAAATTTTCGGAATACTTCATGTATTCTGTGTTTGACATTCTATGGAACTAATCAGTACCAGATTCAGGTATTCCCCCATGGAAACCGCTGGAAAAAAAGGATCCGAGCTAGACAAACGGATGTCAGATTCGTGATGTAGGTGACAAGGACTTTCGTAATATGACATTTTTAGAGTGCGTTAAAAATGGTCATTCTGGATCACTCCCTTTAGTCAAGACTAATACCATGAACGATCTGATATACCACCAAATATTAACAGATAGTAAACAAACGTCTTTCTGTATACGTAATTATTCTACATTAGCAACAGTTCCTGTATGTTATAGTGGCACACTTCCTACTATCACTTGAACACTTAGATTTTTTTATCGTTTTTCCTCATACCGTCATATTTTCCAGAGTAATCATACACAAAGTTCCCAGAAAAACTTACACTTCTCTATTATATTCGAATAATAGATAAAATATTCACTTTTGCTGTCGCCCACTCAATATTTGCTAAGCCATTTACACAAATTCAAAATTTTATTACAATACCCGCGCAGCTCCTCCGAGACATACCTACCTATAAACGACTATTCAAATGGTGCTCATTTTATTGTGAGTTAATTACTATGGATGTAACTTATTCCATTTCTTCGTTTCGTTTCACCATCTGTCATAGACGGCATTATCGGAGTAATTCAATAAAAAGAGTAAGACCCATATGCATTGATATATAACAACGGAAACCTTATTCTCCGTTCAACTATTTCATACAAACATTTACACTTTTTCACACAGGCACTCACCACACTGCATCTCAGCCACAATCAAATCGGAGAGAAGGGAGCACAACATCTTGCTGATTCACTAACCACCAACACAGTAAATCTCATTCTCTCTTCAACTATCTCATACAAACATCTACACTTTTTCACACAGACACTCATCACACTTGATCTCGCTCTCAATGCAATCGGAAAGAAGGGAGCTCAACTTCTTGCTGATTCAGTAAGAACCAACACAGTAAATCTCATTCTCTCTCCAACTATCTCATACAAACATTTACACTTTTCACACAGACACTCATCACACTTGATCTCGCTCTCAATGCAATCGGAGACAAAGGAGCACAACTTCTTGCTGATTCACTAAGAATCAACACAGTAAATCTCATTTTCTCTCCAACTATCTCATACAAACTTTTACACCTTTTGACTCAGACACTCACCACACTTGATTTCGGTAGTAATAAAATCGGAGACAAAGGAGCACAACTTCTTGCTGATTCACTAAGAATCAACACAGTAAATCTCATTCTCTCTCTAACTATCTCATACAAACGTTTGCACTGTTTCACTCAGACACTCATCATACTTGATCTCAGTGGCAATCTAATAGGATATACGGGAGCACAACACCTTGCTGATTCATTAAGAGCCAATACAGTAAATATCATTTTCTCTTCAACTATCTCATGCGATCATTTACACTTTTTAACACAGGCACTCACCACACTTCATCTCGGTTATAATCAAATCGGAGAGAAGGGAGCACAACACCTTGCTGATTCATTAAGAACCAATACAGTAAATCTTATTCTCTCTTGAACACTCTCATACAATTATTTACACTTTTTCGTACAGACACTCACCACACTTCATCTCGGCTATAATCAAATCGGAGAGAAAGGAGCACAACACCTTGCTGATTCATTAAGAACCAATACAGTAAGTCTCAGTTTTCCCAAGCTATCTCATACAAACATTTGCACTGTTTCACACAGACACTCATGACGCTTAATCTCGGTTATAATCAAATCGGAGAGAAGGGAGCACAACATCTTGTTGATTTATTAAGAAACAACACAGTAAATATCATTCTCTTTTCAACTATCTCATACATACATTTGCACTTTTTCACACAGACACTCACCACACTAAGTCTCTCGTTCAATCAAATCGAGAGAAAAGTTCTAGATCGTGTGAATGAACTTATTCAGATGAATAAACGATTGGCTAAATCGTAAATGTGAGTGATGAAGATACTATCGTGTGGAACTAGAAGAAAGTATTTATCATCTCTTTAGGGTTTCATTGCATGCGCGATTTAAAAATGACAATAATTTTGTTGGACCGTTTTGAAACCATGTTTATTAAAGTGTGGTTCTTGTTCTACTTTCTTTTACTATAAAATGATCATAATATATTGGTCCTTATTTAAGCTGTGCTCTGAACTGAAGGAGATCTGATAATATAATTTCAAAGTGTTATTTGTGATTCTGTCATATATTGTTTTTCATAGATCGATCTCATATCGATAGAGCGTAGTTACTAGCTGTTGGATGTTAATGAAACGAAACAAACTAATATGAAAGATGATTGTTAGTATGATCAAGAGAATGGTAGTTAGTAGATGTCATGTAAAATAGGATGAAAGGAAAAAAGTTGTTCAGTGTATGTTGTCACGGTAATTGCTAAGCTGATGCTGGTTTTACCTGATTTTGAATGGCATAGTGTTTTTTTTGAGAAAATTAAAGAACTGATCGAAAACTGAGTAACTTGTTTTAAGTTTCTTTTGAAAACTGATCCAGAAAGTATCTGGTTCAACTTCTGATTCATGATATAGTATTAAGGAAAACTAAGTCATGTTTAGCCACTGGAGCAAATGAAAATTTTCGAACGTTGATCATTTTTACTGCAAGTTTATGTACGACACTATTGATGGCAATTAACATAGATCTTTAGTGCAACAATGATAATATAATATTTCAAGTCTATTCAACAACAAGAACTGTTTCAATGGCTACTAATATATATATCTGATGGTTGATTGATTTATGTCATCTTCAGTACATTAATTCACAAAAGACATATCTTCGAACATATATTTTCATCAAAATCAACTAGATCAGGATGTACATTTACTACGAAAGTTATTTTTATCAGGATTTTGAACAATCTTCAGTATGATAGTTCATGTGTTTTAAAATAAATATATTTATACTATGTACAAATTGTCAAAACTATGCAAATGAGTATCTTCTTCAATGTTTTTTTGGATTAATTTGAAATAGCAAGCATTCATTTATATTTATCTTTCTGACTGTTACATACGTTTTGAATAAATGATATCATCGATATTTATTCGATATGTCAGAGAAAAACCATAGAAGTCATCGTGCTAAGTTATAATGACAACAAACTATTACAAAATATTAGTATTGATTTTATCATTCTCAGAAATTCCAATCGATTATTTTTGAATAATAATGAATAAATAAAGAATACTAAAGCCAAATGTATTTGATATGAAATATCCCAAATACAATTTTAAATAGTTTTTAATCCAAGTATTTACGACCAAATGATTACAAATTGTATGAAAAAGCATTGCTATAAGTTCTGTTTTTATAGACAAAAGCATCTAACATTCGTGGACAGCAAAATAAAACAGTATTTTCGACCAGTTGAATTTTATATAGATTTAATCGATTTTTGAGAATTGAAAGAACTCAATCAATGAATTATCTATTTAAAGACTATATTTACATTTGAAAGTACAAGAATGAACATGTATCACTATTAATTTCAAAAAAATGTTTCTAAACTAACTGTCAATCTAAAACCATCTAATATTTCTATTGTTATACATTGAAAAACAATTCTCTTGAATAACTTGAGTACAAATAGATTATAAAAAAAATACAATGAAAAGAATAAAACATTATTTTCGCTCATTTATTTTTATTCTTAATTTCTTCGTTCAGTTTATTAATTTTAAAATGTTGAAGTGATTCTTTTCCATATTATATTATCAACAACAAGTACATCGGAGTTATTTCGTTGAGAAAAGATTACAATACGTTCAACCATAACATATTGTCTTTGTTCAATCTAAAAATTAAGATATTTATATTCAACATTCTTACATCATAAAATATAATTTTATTTTAATTTAAAAATAGAATACCATTAAATGTTGGAAATAAAAATTGTAATTGTAATATTTTATAATAATTTTATAAAACACATAAATGCATAAGGTGATTGTACAAGATCACTGGGATGATTTTGAATTTTGTTATTGGAAAAATATTGTCAATTAATACGTAAACGAAGGTGTTTATTCTATGTAGAAAAATAAACAAAACACGAATTAGATTTTGTTTTTCATTGATCTTTGTAATTCAATATGTATATAATTAGATACAAAAAAAACTAGGATTATTGAGAAGTTAAAAGAGAGAATATGTCATTTTGTCAATTTTTAGCTCAAATAATTTACTCTGTTATGATATGATTACGGTCGAACAACAATAAATAAAGTGATTGATAAAATCTTAATTCTGAAAAATTTCTATTTCGCTCATGTTTAGATGGAATAAGATGAATAAAATACTAACTGAATTCGAATATCAGCAATTAATTGATTTAAATTCGATGGAAATGTATTTAATTTAATTTAATCTTATTTTATTGTTACTAATGAGGATTCCATAGATTTTACTGTGGTATTATCAAATCCAATTTCTTCTTATAGATAATTATCAATTTTACAACAAATCGCTATGAATAAAATTTAAATATAAACAAAATGAGATTATAAAAATATATATTTTACTCTTTATCATTCTATATATCATTAATTTCAAATATTATTGATAAATAAATAATCAAGACGAAGTTCAATTGTATTTCATCGATGATAACCATTCGTATCTGATACCTCATTAATGGGTGGTTATGAGTGTGGCTGTAAGTATTCGTTTTTCTCTGACACCGACATCCTCCTTACACCCACACCCACCCTCAAAATTGAACGAAAGACTTTTCTTTTTCATTGAAAAACAAAACCATATTTCTCAGATATTTATTTTATCGCAATACAATAGATTGAACGTTTTTTAATTTAAAATAAAACAACGACGCAACTTATTAGCATGTTTAAAACTTGATTGTTATTGTGTTTTTTTGTTTCCTTCCTGATAAAAGTATGTTACATGTTTTTATTCATTTCTCATAAATAAAAGAACTTCCGAATATGATTCAAAAGTATTGTTAGTATTTTATATTGATCAAGATGACATTAGACTACATGCTATGAATATTGAACTTGTGTCTTCCTATAATGGATAGATAAATGTTCAATAGCATCATTAAAAGAAAACAAAAATGGACATAATGATATCTTTAAATATCTATGTATTGATTAAAGATAGATAGAGAAGAGAAAACCTTTTGAAATGCTGCTTATGTTTAAAAATAGTTGTTTATTTTACATTTGAATATCAATGAATGAAAAAATAAGAGACAATACATTTTTTTTCTTCTTGTTTAACTGTAACATGTTTAAATTTAAAGTTCATCAATTGTTATAACTTCTTAGTTTTTTTATCATAACCGATTTATTCCTTGTTAAGATGATAAACCATCTCGAGTAGATTTTTCCGGATCCAGTACCTGAAAAATAAAAATAAATATAAAAGTTACAAATATTGACATTTTTTATTTGTTGATCTTACTTTATCAAGATTAGGTGTATGTAAAGGTGCATCACTACTAAAAAAAGAATTTTAGAAATTATATTATAAAAATTGTTAAGGATTAAAAATACCAACTTACTTTATACTTTCTTTTGGTGTTGTAATTGTTGTTGCAATCGTTATTGCTAAAATAAAATTTAGTTGAATAGTCCCAGGTCAAACAAGCGCGATCGTAAACGGTCGTATACGGAGAAATACGACCACGCGCGACCGTATTTTGCCGTATTACCTGAGGCCGTATTACGATCGTATGTCTCCGTGCTGTAAACGGAAAAATATGATCTTTTACGACCGTTTTTCTCCGTAAACAATCATACTTGTCCGTATACGGTACGGAGACATACGATCGTAATACGGCCTCAGGTAATACGGCAAAAAACGGTGAAATACGGTGAAATACGGTCGTATATGGTCGTATTTTTTCCGGTTACGGTCGTATCCAATCGTTTACGAAGTTCGTAATCATCGACCTGGGGTAGAATTCTTAATTTAATAAAAAGTTGAACTTACGCATATCTATGCCAACATTTGTAAGTGAATACTTATAATCATTTTTGTTGTATTCATCTATACGTTTTTTTTTTCATATTTATTGTACAGTTGTCCTATTTTATTATTTCTCCTAAATAAATAATAGATAATCATTTTTCACGGATGGTCTATTAAAATAATAGATATTTGTAAAATTTACTTACAATTCATTACTGACGTTGAAATACAATTGTTTTTCAATTATAATATGTTCGCTAAAAATACCATCTTTCTGAAATAGATACATCATGCTGATGTTATTACTGACAATTAACTTTACCTCTAAATACACCATTACATCTGATGTTGTTTCCCTGATTTCTACATTTACTATGACATTCATTTTATAATAGTCAGATTAGTAATTTCCTGATGATGTTTGCAGTTCAAATTCGATGATCATATCCGTAGATCTTGAGGGTGTAGTGGTTGTCGTGGGTGTCGTGGGTGTCGTGGGTGTCATGGATGTAATGGGTGTGAGTGTGGGTGAATGATTAATAGTACACCCACACCCTCTTAACAGCATGATTAAACATGACTATCTTATTGATAAGGTTTGCATCATATTTACTTTTGTAGTAATTTTTGAAAATTGATAAATTTTGTTCAAACGACATCTGAAGAAAAGTCAAAAGTAATATCTATTGATATCAACTTCTTCTTCAATAACAAA